CAGGTGCGGGGGAAGGTCGGCGCTGCTGGACGCTTGAGTGTAGGTTTTATTCGTTGTAGGGGCCGGTCTGTGTCACTCAGGTCCCAAAGGGCCGATTGATCAAAGTTGCCGAGGCAGAGTGCGCTGTGTTGGGTTGTCACGTTAACGTACCGGCTGAGGTAAGCGTTGACTTGTTAACCCAAACCTGGCTCTGTACCGCTATATGGATGTGTTAAAAGCCTGTACAGGGATAACAATTCATTAGTTGTGTCTATTCACTCGTAAAATGTCATTCATGGAAAAAAGGAAATATCGGAAGTAAAAGCATCAGGGAAATGCGTAGCATATGAGACAAGGTGTAATGTGTTTTTGGTTTCTTTATGTGGTAATACATCTTGGGGATTATCAAGCCTTTGGCATTCTCTAAAATTACTTTTTCTGCCTACTGTTGCAGTGCAAAACTTCTTACTGAGGGAAGAAGAGAAGATGCTTGAGTTAGACTGAAGCTTGTTTACTCGGTGTAGTGATCTTTCTACTCTAAATACTGTGGTTTAGAAGCTCTTTTTTCTTAAAAGTCATAGATTTTAGTGTTGATAAACATCCCATAAAATGATGAATGTTGCAGCTAGCAGTGCTTTTACTCAAAATCTTTCACTTCAGGGCTGTGAAAGTCAACTGGAGTAGTGTTAGAAAGGTGGTTGTGGAAGGTGGTGGCACACACGAAATACAAATATAATCAGTTTAAACCCTCTTTATTTTTAAGTTAACATTGGTTCCAGGTAGGTTCATTGATAAACTTTAAGGAAAATAGGACATAGGATTTATTTGACTTTGGGTGGGGATAAAAAAACAAACTTCAGGTATTTATTTAGAGTATTGGCACTTACTAATACTTGCTTTAATTGGTAAATCGATTGCAAGGGCTGACCAGTGTCCCTGGCCTTTCCTGAACTCTCAAGACCTGCAGCTTCTGTGCAGCTGCTGGGCACTTCAGTGACTCTTGAAATCGCGGTAGAGGATTGTGACATTTTGTACTTGTCCTGCAGCAGAGATTATTCAGCAGCATTTAGTAAACTGAAAGAGAAGCTCAGAGGTGGAGGTGTAGTGTTGTTCCGTAGACCTGCCTTCAATATAGAGAAGTGGCCTTCCTTTCACACCAACAGCTACTTGAATTTTTCTGCCTCGGGTATCTGAGTGCCAGTCTGCTCTAGTTACACGAGACTGCCCTGTCTCACGGGAGCACAGAATTGTCTTCAGTCATCAGGACAACTTGGATTCCCTCAAATACACACAGACAAGTTCTTTAAACTGTGGTTGTGAGTAAAAGCGTAGCTCACTGTTTCTTACTTTCCATGTGTATCAGTGGGCTGTTTTATAGTTACTTAATATTTTTTTTTTTACAGGAAGTTGTGACAGGCAAAAACCTGTTTCTGAAAAAGTCCCGCTTGCCAAAATTGCTAATTTTTGAGGCAGTGGTGGCTAGCAGGAAGAGGGGATCAAGGAATTTGGTTCTGGATTTCCTAAGATTGCTTTTGCTTGATGTGTTGATATTTCAGCTTTATACGAAAGGGTTTGCTTCTGATGCAGTGCATTTAGATAAAGTGTAACGGTCACTGAGCAAAACTCATTCCCACATGCTGGAAGCACCATGTGTTATCTGAACGCAACATTCTGTGTCAAGTTTTAGTCTTTCTTTCTCTGTAGGAAAGACCATGTGATCTCTGAAACGCCTCCCTTCCCGAGGGAAGCACTTTGTGTGCTTCAGCTTGGTTTCTCTTGGTGATGTGGTTAACAAGTCTTGTGTACTGTGCCACCAGCTGCGAGAAGCTGGGCATTGGGGTTTGCTCAGGAAGACTTTTTATTAGTATTGCAGGTCATAACGTAGTTATCCAAGTCTCTGGCTTTCTTGCTTCTGAAAGAAGTCATGATGTGTTATGATATTGGCGAAACAATTTATTCTTTCTCATGACTATGCTCTTAATGTTACTTTTCTTTGCCTAGACCATGACAAAATGTTTAAGATGAGTGAAAAGATCTTACTCCTGTGTGTTGGGGAGGCTGGAGACACTGTACAGTTTGCAGAATACATCCAGAAAAATGTCCAGCTCTACAAAATGAGAAATGGTGAGTGAAGGAGAACAGTTACTCACTGAGGGTTTGGAAGCAGAGTTAATGATTTACAGTTTACAGTTGAATGCTGGCGGAAAGCGCTACATGCCCGTAGTATTTTCATTTTTCGAAACTAAGTATTTTAATGGTCCATACAAATATGAGCTACGTGAATGTTGGGGGCCCTTTTGTGGTTGTAGCTTTCAGAATAACCTGGATTTAAACAAATGTCATAACATTTTGTCGCTAGAGAATATCTTGTTATTTCAAAATAGGAATGGGAAGTCAGGAAGTGAAACATGAATATGGATTTGTACTTTTATCAAATGTGCACGTTTCTTCTCCAGGTTATGAATTGTCTCCTACGGCAGCTGCAAACTTTACGCGACGAAACCTGGCTGACTATCTGCGGAGTCGAGTGAGTAATAGCTGAAAGATTTTGGCAAAGGCTTACAGGGGAAAATTTGAATTTTTGAGTCATGGAGTCTGGTGGAAAAGGTGGCAGCTTCTCTCTTTAGTAATGAATTCACTTTGCTGAAAGGATGTTTTCTTAAAATATAACTTGATTTGCTCATTTAAAAAACTTATCACATCACTTATCAATAACTGATACAACTATAGTCTTAAAATTCCGGCCTCAGGCCCAATAAACATTTTGTCACAAACACTGCGGACGGCTAAGTGAATTAAGCCTCTTTAACATCGAGATAAGGTTGTCAGTTTTCATGCAAATGCACTGAATCCGTTTAATCTTCTTGAAAATGATTTAGTAGAGCAAAGCTGTTTGATGTACTTGGCAAAACAAGTCCCTTTTGTAAACAACAACGTGAGGCTTTCAGTAAATATCAAATCCGAGCTGGAGCTGTATTTTCCAGTTACTAAACTGCAATTACTGATTTTTCTCATGGTATTTTTTTCAAAGTATGAGAAGATCTCAGGAAGGAGCAAACGGACATTTGAAGATCCGGGGTTAAGAAGCGTTTCGTTAGCGTTCTTCTCAAGGTGCTATAGGGAGGAAAACAAGAAGGAACAGGATGTTGAGGATAAAGTTGATCAACTGTGTCAGGAGTAGGGTGTGGGGTGAATGGTGTTGCTGCTCTAACAGTTTGCTGCACAGGCCTGACGTGATGTTTCACAGTAGCCAGTAAAGGCCAGTGTTAAGGTCAGAGCTGTAGTGTTGAGAGTTACACGTGTGGAGTGAGGCCCAGACCCTTCTTCACGAACTCATCTGGAGGGACAACCCAAGATCATTGTTCTCCCTTCTGACATGGCTGACAGCTGGAAGGAGCAAGCTTTCAAGTCACTGAAGTTGGAGCAAGTCAGTGAAAGAACTGAGTGCAGGGTCCTGCCTCAGTCTCGGACACGAAACGCTGCTCTGGCTGACGTGACTTCAGCCAGCTACGTGGGTTAAGCATGGTTGGGAGATGGTGGTTGGCAGTGGTGCTCCTTGCTTTAACCTTTGCTCAGATGTGGTTGGGAAGGTCCGTGTGTGTTTTGTGGAACTGTGCGTGGTTTTTGAGGTTGATGTGGAGCAAATGCTGCTCGGTGCCTGGCCCAGATGGCTGTCGGCTGCCTGGTGCTGGTGGCTCGTCTCAAGGGCATCCGACCCGCACAGATGGCGTAGGTGAGGCTGACACAGAGTGTCCTGCCCACTTAAGCAGGGTCAGCTATTGTTTAAAATGGATTTAAAGTACCTCTAACAGGACTAATTTAACAGGCTTTTTGGTAAACTTGGCCAGCAGGATGTGGCATTGATGTGATGCTGTCATCTTTCTCTGTTCCATGTCCCTTGAGGCCTGATCCTCCCTGTGCCTCCCCTCCTTCCTGAGCCCACGCCTGTCTTCCAGCTCACCTGCTCCAGATGGGCAGCACAGTGGGGAGGACACTGGCAGAGGCAGATGTGTTTGTTTACCGGAGACAAAATGTTGTGCTGTTGCAGATGGCAATGCCCTCGAGCAAGCGGCGCACTCTGACACTGCCGTCACACTACAGTGATCTCTGTACTGCAGGGAGAACTCTTTTCCTTTAAACATAGCGCTTAATGATTTGTTTGTGGGATTTAGAATTTGATGATACAAACCTTGCCATCAGAATTTTTTTCCTCTTGAGTTTTGTTACATTTTTGCCATAATTCGTAGGATACCAGAAGGATTAACACTACCCCTCTAGCTATTTAAATTGCATATGGGATTCCTGGAAGCTACTGATTTAATTATGCAGATGATAAAAATAAAAAATGGAAAGGTAAAATGTGCCCCCGCCTCCTGTTAGGAGCAGGAGAATAGTTTAGAATAAGAAGTTTGGTGGGGGAAAAGGTAGTTTGTTGCTGTGTTGCCACTCACCGTGTGAAGCTGTTTTGGTTGTGGAAGACTAGAAGGTGCGTGCAGGGGCGTGGCCAACGCTGAAACAGTACTTTTTCAGGCATTATGCTGTTGTTGTGGCCCAGCCCATAATAGATCTTGTTCTGCATCGTTAATCACCGTCTGGTTCCTCCCTGGGTTACCTAGTTTGGTTGCATTTATATACCTGGTGGCTCATGTAGCCCAAGTTCTGATACCTTGGGCATGGCTGTCTTGTAAGGCAGGGCCTTGAAGTTGTTCTTTTGGTGGAAAGTATCAAGTTGATGACACTGGGCTTGTAACTTAAGGCCATTACCTTGTTGCGCTCTTTTCTTCTGCTGAATAGTCAACACGTGGCTTTTCATGACCTTTCTGTTCTTAAAACATCGGGCTTGTGCTCCAGAGTAGGATCTAGACCACTTAAGCAACCTGGTCTAGTGGGAGGTGTCACTGCCATGGCAGGGGGGTTGGAACTAGATGATCTTTGAGGTCCCTTCCAACCCAAACCATTCTGTGGTTCTCTGATCTGAAGAGCTTCGTTGTTGACTTCCATTTATATGTCGCAGTTGAGGCAAAGTTAGAAAATGCTTTGGAGCCAACTGGCTTTCGTGTAGGTGAGGGGTGGGGGTGCTGTAGTTCCACTGTTACCTACTCCAGCCTCTCACTTGATTCACCTGCCGAATCCAGTGGTGGGTTTAGTACATTGAACATCCTGCTGAGGTTGCATGGTGGGGAGGAATAGGAAAAATAACCCCCTGCCCCTCCAAACGCGATGAAGTTCAGATTGTAGTTGCGATGCTGCGTTTAATTGTAGGTGACAGGGTCTGGCCTGAGTCCAGAGGAGGACTGTCAGCTCCTCGCTCCTTGTCCACGCTTGGCAGGATGCTTCCTCGCGCCCACCTTTCCCCCCTTGCTGTGACTTTGGCTTCCGCCAGATGTCACAGCGCTGCTCGTCGCCGCCCAGCCTCCTGCTGCTGATCTGGGTGTTTTAATGTATTTATTGCAACTGCTCCCTTCAGCTGTAAATTCTGAAGAAGTTCACACGTCTCTTAATTGCTGTAGTTACTTTAAATCAAATGGCATAAAGTGCAAAGCTACTTGGGATGAGAAATACTGCCTCTAATAGGAAGGTAAATTTGGAGGGGGGTGTGTGGAATTAATCTATCCTGGAGTATCAGTCATCCCCTCATTTGGTAGCCCTTTGATCACACCAGTCTTCTAAAGAGTTTAGGGCTGTTGGCATGGATTTAGTTTCAAAAGCCAAGGCTGCCTTTGGAATGGACGAAGGGATTGAGATGTACGAGGAGTACCAGTCCCAGCACGGAGGTGTTAGTCCCACTAAGAGGTGCTGTCTGCAAATTTCATTGGTGATCATCGAAGTAGTAACTAATTATGTGTCTTTTCTGATGGTTAAATCCTGCCTTTCTTGAATAATAGGAAGGCATGGGGGATACTCTATTTACATTTGAGTTCTCAGAAGTTGCCTCCTAGACCGTTAGCAGGAGAACTTACAACTGAAAAACAGCTTACAGATTTATTTAATGCCATTTATTTATGGTTGAGTATCTCGCATATGCCAATGTTGGTAATTCAAAGTCACACAATAATTTGAGTGATCTTGTGTCATGGCTCTTAAATATCAACTTGTGTGATGTTTCAGAATAAATAAATGATGAAATACAGACTAATTAAATGAGTACAGCTGCATGGTAACTTGTTTCCAAATATTCTTGAATGCTTTGAAGATTAAATCACACATTTTGCAGTGATATGTTTGATATAGAAGTGTAGCTTGCTTTATTCTTTCTTACTGCGTGGTGAAACTAAAAATACAATATCCTGTGATTTTTTTTTTTTTTGAGTGCAAATTCATTGTGCTTAGTATCAAAACGAACTTTTTTTCTATGATAAAAGTTAATGTTTTGGCTTTAGGGTGAAATTGTGTTTGCTTGTTCTGATTTATTGTTAGTTGCATCATCATTTTTTTTCTTATTTTGTTGCTTTGTTGATCTAGGCTTTCCAGCATTTTAAGAGATATCCTGTTAGGATGGTTAATAAGAAACAGTATGTAAACACGAAAATACTGGAAGTATATAAAAGCTGTTTTAAAAAATACATTCAATTCCAAAATTTTCTTCTGAGCCTACATTTAAAAATAATCCAGTGCATGTGTGTTTCACGATCTTACAAAGTACGTGTCTTGGAAGACGATAGAGACACCTGCTTTACTCATTTTGGTGAGACACTGAACTTAAAAAAACACGAAGGAAACGGCTAAGGAATTGCTAAACTTGCAAGTACAGCACAGGAAAAAGGCATGGTCGCACTGATGCGGTTACATGGTCGTTCTGGATAAGGTGCAGGTATTTCTCGCTTGTATGTAGCAGAGCATAAGCAAGAATCAGAGAAGATAGCAGCTAAAGCAGACTCCATTTCTAGTTTAAGAAAACTGTTTCCAACCAAACAAAAAAGCTACTGCTGATGTGGTGTTGCTGTATCTTAGAAGTTGGTTTTGAATAGAAGTAAGCCAGTTCCTTAGATCTTCGTTCTCGTGGTCAAGCTAGCCTGGCGGTAAAGATTCAGCTTGGTACGCGCAATAAAAACCTGCCTGCCAGTTAACGAGACGGCGCAGCACTGTGTGCGACTGTTTGCACTGTGTGTAAGCTTTCACGTGTGCTAAAATGGTCTGTGGTTAACAGTAGTGTGACTGAGAAAAGAGCGTGCTAAATTAACAAAGAAGTTCTTACAAACTGCAAAATGTTCACATTGTGCTCACATGTTGACAGTAAAAATACACGAGTTTTATGTTGAGATGAAAGAATCTGGTGTGAAAACATAATTAAAGTTTTCTTAGGTTTGAGTGCGCCGTGAAAGCTTTTTAAAAAATAAAAAAACAAAACCACACTGGTTTCCAGGAGAATCGGAGTTTTATGTTTTTATTTGCTTATGCATTCCCTGTTACCAAAAGACCTAATCGCTTTTAGGTTGAGACCCGTAGTCTCCTGCAGGCAGCACTGGCGTAGCCGCTAGTGGCGTTTCATGGCAAAGAACTGTGAAACCGACTGCGTTGCTGTTCTGTCGGTGGCACGGGGCATTCGGATTCCAAGGTTTGAGTGTGGCTGCTGTAATGAAAGCATCATTTCTGTTTGTAGACCCCTTACCACGTCAACCTTCTCCTGGCTGGCTATGACGACCACGAAGGTCCTGCCCTCTATTACATGGATTACCTAGCAGCTCTGGCGAAGGCTCCCTTTGCAGCACATGGCTATGGTGCATTCCTTACCCTCAGCATCCTGGACCGCTATTACAAGCCAGGTAAGTGAAGTCTATGGAGAAGAAAATTCTCCTGTTACCGATTAATAAAATAAAGGCTTAAAACTGAGGGATTGATGTCTGCCGAGTCAGATGGTCCAGCGCAATTGCTGTGGTGCTACGGATTTGAATTTGACCTCTTGTTAGAGTAAATGTAGCTTTAAAGATTGCCTTCTGGTTTTGCTGAAATGATAATGTGAAACTAGTCAGCTCCTTAAAGTGTTTTCCTGTTTGAAGCGTAACAGACTGTAAGTGAAGGAAGTTTCAATTTATTCGAAAACATGACTAGACTTCCCTGGACCATTAGCTGCTCGTAGTCTGTTTTTAATAAATAACGTTTTGATAACTTTATCTTCTATTTGCTCGTCTGTTGGCCATGACACGTACATTTTCCCAGAGTATCATTCTTCAGAGGGCAGTCCCGGATCCTATTGCTCCGCATCGTGGACTGGCTTTGTGGGCGATGTATTGAAAACATACGAGTGAAAAGATATTCCTAGCAAGGTTGTCTTCAGTACTCTGAAGTGGTGGTGATGAAGATTGGTTGGTTTGGTTTAATTTTATGTGTGTGGTAGCTGTTGATCATACTTTTACCTGCCTGTACCTGTCTAAAGTTTTAATTTTAGAATCCTAATCTGATTCTTACCTGCCAAGGGGTAAATGTGGCCCCATCCCCACTTTACAGATGGGGATATGTACAAAGCTTGGAATATTGTTCATCTGACATCTTTGGCTTTAGCTACAAAGCTACTTTACTCCTGTGTGCAGAGCAGAGTTTAATCTCACAGCGAAGATGTTCGCTTAGTAATGCTTTCATCTATCTCCTGCGAGGACTGTAGCTCTAAACCGACAGTTTTATTCTGATGGGACTTCTGCCTGAACGGTGGGCGCAGGCCTGGAACAAACTCCAGGAGCAAGTGTTGTGGGATCTGCGGAGCTTAGTTGTTTTCTAGTCACGGCCCTTGAAAACGCTGCTGCTCCCTTTTCACCATTCCTTGTGCCAAAGAGAAGAATGGTGAGCCACAGCTCGTTGTCATGGCTTGTCGTCCCTATAGAGCGCTGGGTTTCCTCCTAATGTGCGAGAATAGCAGGGCCATCGCACACGTGCCTTTCCCATTATTAAAACTAATACCCAGCAGGGAACGCAGCACTAAAACCAGTCTCCGCCTACTGTCACTGACTCGCAGCCGGCTGTGGACAGATGGAGCTGATTTAAAACTGTAATAAACTCGAGGAGAGAGAGGCGGCTGGACTTCTCCGAAGCCCAGTCCCTGGCCATGGGAGGCAAAATTCCGTCATGCTTCCCGTTCAGTGTAACAAATCGATTCTCAATGGCTTGTTGCAGCGTGAGCGCTTCGGTGCAGGGTGTCCTCAGTACATCTGGAAAGTGTTTTCTGTGAGCTGGGAAGGAGAGTTCTTGGTGCTCAGCTGAGAAGTTGTTTAAATTTAATAAAGTTTCTGTTGAGAGAGATGGCCTCTAATTAAATCAATCTGTGGATGTTTGCTCTTTCAGGCATCACACGTGAGGAAGCTGTGGAGCTCCTAAAAAAATGTCTAGAGGAGGTGAGTTGCCAAACTTAGGCCGTTGTGATCTTGAGAAAGGACTGTTTGTTTGCATTCACTTGCTGATGTTTTCATGTTCCTCTTGTCGCATTTTTTTGCCGTCCTTGCCAGAAGGGGTAGTAAATGCACATTGAGCAGATGGGGAACAGCTACTGAGGAAAAGGATTTGTGGGCACTTGCATTGTCTTAGCACGGTTCACGTCCTCCAGAACGTAAACTTGAGGCTTAATTGCTTTTCTTTACTTCTGCTTCTTCCATGCTCAGCATAATATTGATACAGACGGTCTTTGACTTTTTCTCCTTATGTTTCTTCTGAGCGTGATGCAAGCATCCCTCTCTTGTGTTATGCTTCACGAGTGTATGCTTCTAAGTGTACTTCTCTTCCAGCTTGTGAAGTGATCTCTGAGGTAGTGATTTGACCTTAAAGTTCATGATCAATTCTAGTGTAAACATAACCTTTTGGACTCTGAGGCTTTTATTGCAGGAAAATAGTCTTTATCCTTGTCTTTAAGAGATTGAATTGAATGTAACTGGGAAGAAACATCTGGGAAAACATCAGGAAGAAGTATGCTAAAGAGGTTCTGTTTGAAGTGTCTTTGATACGTACACTTTGTCCCTAAGCTGTAGCCCACTCTAGTCTTCCTGCTTAAATGCCTTCCTTGTTAACAGGCTTGTGTGTTCTGCGTCTCTAGCCTAGGCTTGTCTAACATGGAGAGTCCCATAACAGAGAGCGAACTCATGATAATTGATTCCTGAGCAGTGAAAAAACCCACTGTAGTTCCCAGTATTTCAAGTCTAGAACCAGGATGGAAATTTTGATGTGCAACAGCATATCCCTTAAATTGTGTTCTGCTTTTTTATTGAAGCCTTGAATGAATCTCATCTCTTTTTTTCTTTTTTTTTGTCTCTTGTTGAACAGCTTCAGAAACGCTTCATCCTGAATCTGACTTCTTTCAATGCCCGGTTCATTGACAAAGATGGCATCCATGAAGTGGACAATATACCTCTTGCAAAAGCGATGTCCTAACCCTCGAGATCTTTCTTCATCAGTCCTCTTTTTTGTTCGCTTTTGGTTTTTTCTATTCGTTTGAAGCCCACAAGTCATGTACTGCACTGGGAGATCAAATAAAGATTGACATTTATATAGCCAGTTTTATCTTTTTATTCCACTGATGCTTACTGAGAGCATTTAAGGAAATGGTTCCACAGTGAAGGTGAAACATGATTTACTGTTAATGGGTGCACATTCAGGTTTCTGATCTTTCTTTTCTCTTCTGGGATTTTACTCACTGCCTGCCCCGGGTTTTCTTTTGTGTGGGAAAACTGGTACTATATTTTCTAGATGACAATGCGCTGTCATCTGCTCTCATAATTAAAGCTCAGCAAACAATGGGCAAGTGTTTCATGCTAGACATACAGCATCTACTTTATTTTTCCAAAGACGTTACCACTGTTTGCTTTATAAAACAATCATAATCAGGTTTTCAAAGACTTAATTTGCTTTTGTTATACTTTGCTTCATTCTAACCCAAGTGAAAGGTGAAAGAGAAGGTTTCTAAGTAGAATGGATTTTAAAATGCTAGTGTCACTTTTAACTCACCTGGCCATGGTTCTGTTACTGGGAAAAAATATTCTCCTGCTGGCACAGTAGGAGTAACTACATGAAGTAGTTTAAAATATAAACTGGTGTACCAATTGTGATTTTTTTTTTTTTTCTTGATTGCTGTATCTGTACATTTAGAAGTACTTGAAGGCAGTTCAGTGTGAAATAAAACTGCAGCACTTCTCATAAATCTTTGAATTACTCTCAACTAGCTAGAGCTTTGTTTCCATGAGAATAATCACGGAACTGTCTGGGCTCTAGATGACGCTCCCATATAAAAACTCCATTCATGGACCAGCCTCAGATAATTACCGTGTGGCTCATACTCGCAGTCTGCCCAGAAGTGATTCTGCTGAGAATAATTTTCATGGAGACCGCTTCCCTGCTTGAATTTGCATTGCATGAGCTAACCACTTAAAATGCTCCTTCGAATGCTTATATTATGTTTTGAATAAGCTTGGAGAAAGAATCTGTGAAACAGAAGGGTGGATGTGCACAAGGTTGGGTGCAGACTGTATTGCTTGTGTGGCATGGCGTAACACCGACACTCTCGGCTGGGAAGGTAAGGGACAGACCTGACTGTGTGTGCCAAAGCTTTTTTGGTCCTTCCTCCGTAGAGACTCCCCCGAAGAGTTGTCAGTCTTAAGGACCGAGTGTTCCTATCGTATCGAACAGGGGAGGGCTGGGTTAGAGACTGATGACACTTGCTTAATGTCACAGAAGAAATTGGCGGCTCCAGTGCCTTAACTCATCCTGCCTCTTAAGACTGCCCTTACTTAAATCTAGGTCTTAGCTGAAGTCCCATCAGGCCTTGTAGTTTAATTCTTTCCAGAACGAGTTTAATCATCAGCTGGTTTTGTTGTGGTCACGGCTGCAATGGCTCTTGTTTAAGACCCATGGCATATAACTCTGGAACGTTTTGCTAAAATTTACTTTGTCTTTTCAAAAACCTCTTCAAACTTTTTCACACGAGGAGAAGCAGTCCCCAGCCTGGTTATTTTCTCTTGGCAGGTCACGCTTAACATGAGCAGAGCCCCAGTGTTCTAGCTCTGCGATTGAAATCTCACCCCTTCATGTTGCATTAATGTATTTGTTTAGCTTAATATGCAGCATCTCTAATTTATTTTACCACTGATGTTGACTATTTTTGCAGGTTTCTTGTCTCTCTTTTCAAAGTCGTCACTGCAGAGTGGCTGAGCTGATGTGCTGTTCTTGTCACCGCATATCAAAGTAGCGATGCCCCCTTCTTGGAGGTATGCGTTATTTCAGACCCCAAAACCAGGGTGTGGTGCTATTAGGTGATGTGAGTCTGGCAGAGAATCTGCCTGGAGTTTTTATTGGCACCTATTTGCATGCAGGTGATTAATAAACATAAAACAATTATTCCCCTGCAAACACCCTTGTTGGATTCAGGTTGGAGTGGAACATATGTTTTGCCTGAGGGCAGGGCCCAGGATCTGAATCCCCTGTTGAGCGAGAGATAGAGGGGGTTGCATCAGAAGCCAGCGGAGCAGCAACCTCTAGGAATGAATAAATACAGACCTTTATTTCAAACCAGTAGAACAAAAGCATTGGCCCACGATGAGGTTGGACGGTAGCCTCTGATGAAGAAGATTCTTTTGAGGATTTGCCAAGAATTTATACTTTTAAGGAAAGGTGGGATACTTTTGCTGTATAACTTTGGATTGTTTCAAAGGTCTACAGTGCTGATCTTTGAATTCAGGAACACTCAGCTCTCATTTTTGACCATAATATATGGAATCTGGTTGAAAACTTAAACATTTTAAGTTTTCTGTTCACGTTACTTAAGGAGAAGAAAACTTCTTAGCACCTTCAAGTTCAGCCGTAAAGCTTTTTGGAAATCATATTTTGCCTAGAATCCAGGAATCCCTTTTGGAAACAATTCACCTTTCCATTTGAAAAGCATCTGTATTTATCATGACAGGCCTCTCCTTTCATAAGAAATCTCTGACGGGATTGAGCACGGCAAGTACTGCTTTCTACTAATAAGTTCTTTGGTTCTTCATATTATAAAAAACTAACATAGTAAACCAAGGTAACGTATTCCTGGGGCATTGTAGCCACAGTGAGCTGTTTGGTTTTGCTTTGGCTGGTAATTCTGACCATATGTTTTACTACCAAAGCCTCAGGGCCTAAAGAGTTAACAAGGTACTTTTTCTCATTTCAGGTTTCCTGTTTAAGGACGGTCTCTTCCTGAGCACCACGCACGAAACAGATCGCTGCACCAGCTCATCCCTTCAGGAGCTTGGAGCCTGCTCTGAGATCGGTTTACAAGGGCACAGAGCCTCTGTGCCTTAGGCCACGTTACAGTGGGAGTGCTTTGCTGAAAGAAGTATGTGAGTGGTGGTGCAGCGCTTATAGGTCTTTTTCTTGGTGTTAATTATACCTTTTCACAGAAGAAAATCTGCGTTTTGTTGTAGACCTTCTCGCACACTAGAATCGTTGGCATGGAGGAGGTCATCCGTGCTCAGACAACTGGCTGGCATAGTTGTCCTTCACACAAGTTTGCGGTGTCGTCTGGACAGTTCTGCTGTCCTAAAAGTGACTCGACCCAAAGTTGTCTTGAGTGATGAAGCTTCTCCCTTCGTGGGATGGCAAGTGGCTGCTGAGCACAGACACTCAAAAGTTGGAATGGCTGAAAGGTTAACAACAGCTACGTCCCCTACTGCTGTGTTCAGCCTTTATGTGGAACTGCTGGGGCGGGAGAGCGCCCCAGGATGATTCACCTATGTGGTTCCCCAAGATTTCTCCAGTCCAAGAAATCCATGACCCTGTTCAGTTAAACAAGAGACACTTCAGCTGTGGGTGTGTGAAAAGCTTGGGCAGGGGCTGCTTTTTCTGTGTAAACCTGTGCCCTCGGCAGGTCTGCTCGTAGAAATGAGTGAGCCAATGTAGAGACTACAGAGCGATAGAATAATCAAAGATAGAGAAGTAAAGCATGTTTGGAGCAATCCTACAGAGTGTTCTCAGCAGTCTTTGACTTCTGTTCGTGGTGGGGTGGTGAAACGGTTGCTGGCAGAAACTTTGTCTGCAACAAATGGAGCTTTCGCTTTTCAGACTAGAGATGGAGGAGCAGAGAGGAGGGATCAGGCTAAACTCTCCCAAGGATGTGTTTCCATTTGCTCTTGTCTCTAGTTTTGACAGTAAGTTCCTACAAGAGGTCTTAGCTGATGCCAGGGCTGATATTATGGATTACGTTCATGGCGCTTAGGATTTGGTTGATTCCATTTTCCAACCTGAAGCAAGGACAGAATATTCCTTTTGTGTAAAATAGCTTGACATCAAAGGAAGGAAAAACCTCCGACTTTGCTACCTGTGAAGCACTGTGCATATTGTCTGTGAGGAAAAATAAATTTATCCTACTTGTAAAAACCTTATCCTTCAAGCCATTTTAAATTCTTTTTCTTTAAACGTTTAACCTTATACAGAGTTTCCATGTGTTGTTATCAGTCTGCCATCAACAGTGATTAAGTGCAGGAAATTTTCATGTGAGCACTGATCAAACTAAACAGACATAAGTTGTTTTAACAGATCTTTAAAAAAAGCAAACTGGAAATGGTGGAATTAAAATACGCAATTTCTCTATTTTCCTGTGCTCTTGACTATAGCGGTTTGAATCTTTGTGTAATACTGACTGGCTGAGGACTATGTTAAAAAATAAGTTAGTTGTCTTGAAAATACGAAGTGACAGTTTAAGTGGTTTGTGTCTGTGCTAATGTGCAATTAGATAGTTATCCAATAAGCTTATTCATGTAGTCTAACGCAAGACAGCTGTGGAAGGAATCGAGAAAACCCTTTACTGTTGAGGAATGGTGAGAGGGGAAAGGGTGTTTAAACGGAGCTCTTTCAGAATTGCCAGTATGTTCTTCTTCCTCATGCAATATAGTAAAGCATTAAAGGTTAGCAAGGTTCATGAAAAATTAAATTCTGCTGGTCAAATCTACAGAGAAGTGAAACTAAAATGTGGATAGATGTGAATGCCAGTAGACGTAGCATGAGTTTGGATCTATAAATTAGCTCTAAGGCAACCATAGGAAGTGGGGCCAACCTAATAATCTAATTGTCTGAAATGATGACTTGGCTGAACATATTTTGATTTGGGTAAAGCGCCTTTTGCTTAGTAGAGGCTTCCTTGGTGTCGTCAAATATTTCTCGTGTTTATGCATGAATGTGAAAATAGTGCATGTCCTGTAGTTAATGTACAGAAGACAAAGCAGGCTCCGTCGCACTTTGTGGCGGTATTTTTAGGATTATTGACAGAACCCTACTACAGCACCACCAAAATGCCTGTGGGCTTAAGCGATGCTTGATCTCCTCTTGCTAAACGTTGCACTTGAAATGCAACAGATGCCATTACCCTGCTACCAGCGCTCTGGGGACTCTGAGTTTGTGGCAAAAACCTGTGCATCTCGCAAGCCTCTTCCCTTCGGCAGAGGGCAGTGATCCTGCACGCACACCGTGCCGCCCTGCAAACTTGTTGGGCCTCTTCATCTCTGAGCAGATATCTGATGGTCACAGGAACTCAGTGT